ATTATAAATTTATTCTCGCGCAGTGCAGCGCGTGACGAATATTAAAAGAAAGCTAAGCCGCAAAATTGAAAATACAAGAGCGCGTGCATTAAATAAATAAATATCTTTTTTTGATTTCGAGAAAGTACTGGAAAATTCTAGCGCGTGATTTTAAAATCTTATAAAAGGAGGAAAACATCTCAGTTTGTAGTAGTTGCTTAGTTTGTTGTTGTTTAGAAAACTGCTCTTGTTGATTGTAGCGAATTCGCGGATTAGCGTTCTTTAGCTAGCTGTTTGAATTACGTTCTATTGGACATTTGAGTAGTTAAAAGATAACTACTGTGAGATATTGTGATACTGCATGATAATTTGAGAAAATTTAAGCATTTCTGTTGTGATAATAATAAATTTTTGTTCATTTTTCATCGGACATGTGCATTCATTTCATAACGAACCCGTACGCACGCAACAATATATATAAGCGGCTTAAGTATGTGTAGCCGATAGTTTATTGCTGCCACTTGGAAAAATTGAGCATGTAAATTAATGTTTCCACAGTTTTTAATTAATATCTCGGCAAATTAAAATCGTACGAAGATGAGAATGGTATCGACGGATTCGGAGAACGTTTTGTAATCCGTGGATACGCGTCTCGAATTTGAACTCGGCGCCGTTCCGTAGATATTCGAGAAAAAAGAAATTGGCACGTAGCCAAATCCCTATTATAGGGAAAACCCAAAGTGAAAAAAGTAGGGAAAACGTAGAGGAAAATTAGTTTTTAATTAATATCTCGGCTAATTAAAGTCACACGAAGACGCGAATGGTCAAAATGGCGTGCCACAGGCCTGCGAATTCAACGGGGTGCTTCGCTAAGCCCGGGAGCCACCCTTTTCGGAGGAGATGATGTTACTTCACCCCCATATATATATATATGCGGCTTAAGTATCTGTTTGTCGCCGATAGTTTATTGGTTGCTTGCGTAACTGTACTAGCCAATGAGGTTAAGTTGCCACGGCACAGGTTTGCCGTTTCAATTGAGACGTAGACAATTTCCTGTAAAACTAGCCTTTGCTATGACCATCCATAAGTCTCAGGGCCCAACGCTTAAGCGTGTTGCCATTTTTTTACCTGAGCCTGCATTTGCACACGGTCAACTTTATGTTGCCTGTTCAAGAGTTCCTGAAAGAACGGACGTAAAATTAAAAAGAATGGATGGTCCTCTGCAAGGCGAGTTTAAAAATGATGGAAAGATCTACACAAAAAATGTTGTATACAAAGAGATCTTTGGCATGTGAATTGACATTTTATTATTTAAATCAACTTTATTCATTTAGCTAGCGGTGGCTCTTAAGAAATGTATCGCCAGTGGTTTCCTTCATTGCACTCTACTTTAAGAAATTAAGCAAGTAGAAGGGGAAATTCTGTGGGGCAGTAAGCACAGGGGCGTCTTTGCCGCCTGCCCTGGCTAATTCAGTTTGAATTAGCAGACGCCTTTGCAAAAATCATTTTAATTACAATTTATAATAGCTAGAACAGCGGTCCTTTCGCATGACCGCCGGGCTTTCTAGTTGTATATACGCGGCTTCAGTTTTTGTCGCCGATAGTTTATTGTTGGCACTCGGAAAAATGAGCTCGGAAATTAACGTTTCCGCAGTTTTTAATTAATACATCAGCCGATTAAAGATGATGAAGATGACGAAGATGAGAATCGTATCGATGGATGAGGATAATTTTTTGTATTCCGTGGATACGCGTCTAGAATTTGAACTCGGCGCCGTTCCGTAGATATTCGAGAAAAAAGAATTTGGCACGTAACCAAATCCCTCTCATAGGGAAAACCCAAGAAATAAAGTGGAAAATGTAGGGAAAACGTAGAGGAAAATTAGTTTAATTAATATCTCGTCTAATTAAAGTCCTACGAAGACGCGAATTGTCAAAATGGCTTGCCACGGGCCTTCGAAATTCAACCGTCTGCTTTGCTAAGCCCGGGAGCCAGCCGTTTCGAAGAGATGAAACTCCAACTCCAACTTGCTTTATTTGCCGCGATTAACCTGCGAAACTGCAGGTTGTGTTCCGGCTATCGAACTTTGGTGCTTCTAGGAGCGCTGCAGGTAAGGAAATGCCGAACGTAGTTCTCATGGAGACAGGATAGCAGATGCAGGGGGTGTGACCAATGTCACGTGATAAGAGATAAGACATCTGGTTGGCGATGAGGTATCCAGGCATCGTAGCGCTGAAAATCTGAAGTTTTACAATAGTTATACATAAAATAGTACTAAATCAATTCCTAGAAGGTGTGTGTTGCCGTCATAAATGCAGAAAATAAAATACGATTCCAAAAAGTACAATAGTATATACAGGAAAAATATAAATAATATCTTGTGGGCGTGGCTGTGTGTGTCACATGATCATCCGGCTAAGATTTCTAAACATCATTATTTACAAGTCAAATAAGTTTTTCAGAGTACTACATACTTAGAAACACAAATTATGTTGGAAAATCTGGTTTCCACTGAGTAGAAAAGCGGCATATGGACGGAGGTGCCTGTCCTCGTGTAAAATTTCATAGTGAAATAGGTTGAAAATGTCCATATGTTGACAATCCTTAGCGGCGTCATAAAATGCCGTATTAGTTCTTAAATATTCCACTAATGTATCCATTTTTAAATCTTCATGGAGACGTTTGTTCTTCATATACGGGTGTGCATTTGTGATAATTCTTAAAAATCGGTTTTGCACAACTTGTAATTTTTGGATTTCACCCTTCGTAGCGGTAGTCCATGCTGGCGAAGCGTACGTCATGATGGGTCGGATTGTGGCTAGATAGATAAGTCGTTTCTTGTCCAACGAAAGTTTTGAATATTTCCCTATCATGGGATATAAACATTTCATGACTTTAATCGCTTTATCCCTGATTTGTTGGATGTGATGCTGCCATGTGAGCTTGTCGTTGATGGTGATGCCCAGATATCTGGCTTGTTTCACGATAGGCACAGCCTCGTTGAAAAGATAAACACTTTGCCTGATCGGAACATTTTTCTTCCTTTTTCCTTATGAGCTGAAATTTTTGAGCGTTTATTCGTATTTTCCAATATCCACACCATTGTTCTATGGAGGGAATAGTGTCTTGGAGTTTCCGAATAGCATGATTGATGTTAGCAGACTTCACTGCCCAAGGCAGTGTCGTCTGCATAACAGGCTAACATAGAACTATGATTTAAATGTAATCTCGGAAAGTCTGAAAGGTAGAATAGATAGAGTATAGGGCCAGTCACAGAACCCTGTGGAACACCGCTAGTCATTATTACTCTGAATGTCCGATCTCTGATAAAAGAATGAATTAGCAGAAGGAGTTCTCTGTCCAGTTGAAGGTCAATTAATTTAGCTATTAAGCCCTCATGCCAGACGCAGTCGAATGAGTCACGTCTAGCATGAGTATAGCAACATTAAGTTTGCAGTGCAGAGCTTCACCAGCGAATTTGGCTATTCGGACAAGTTGCTTCGTTGTTGAGAGGTGAGCACGGAACCCAAATTATTCCGACGGAAGATGCTGAAAATAGGGTTTCAGTCTATTCAGGATAATTCTCTCAAATATTTTGCCTAAGCCCGGCAGTAGACTGATAGGTCGATATCCGTCTGTTCGGGTGTGATCTTTGGCCGGTTTAGGTAGTAAAATAATTTTAGCAATTTTCCAAGGTGTTGGAAAGTAAGAATGAGCAAGACAAGCATTAAAAATACTTGTCAGACTGCAGATGATGTTAGGTGACAAATTTTTAATTGCTGTATTGCTGATTTCTTCAATTCCTGGAGATTTCCTTTGTCTCAGGTGTTTGATAATATTAGTCGTTTCAGTAGGAGTGGCATATTTAATCGGAAGTCTGACTGATGGGGCGTTGAGCCAATCCCTCCCTTGTAGGAGGGTCTTTAATTCGAAATCAGAGTCATTTGGCCAATCATTTGGCGAGAACTGTTTTGGAGGTGTGCCGCGAAGATTTTTGCCTTTTCCTGATTGTAGATGGCAATATTACCTGTGTCATAGAGTCGATTACTTGTGAAAATAGTTTTTAAATTTTTGATTAAAAACCAGAAACTACTTTCTCTAGAATCCAGATTTAACATTTTATCATCCCATAGTTTCGGAGGAGATGATGTTACTTCACCCCATATATATATGTGGCTTAAGTGTCAGTTTTTCGCCGATAGTATATTGGTTGCTTGCGTAACTGTACTAGCCAATGGGGTGAAGTTGCCACGGCGCAGGGTTGCCGTTTCAGTTGAGAAGTAAAAATTTCCTTTAGTAAAACTGGCCTTTGCTATGATACATCTATAAGTCTCAGGGCCAAACGCTTAAGCGTGTTGGCATTATTTTACCTGAGCTTAAATTTGGACACGGTCAGCTTTATGTTGCCTGTTCAAGAGTTCGTGAAAAAAACTGACGTAAAATTTTAAAAAAAATGGATGGTCCTCTGCAAGGCGAGCTTAAAAATGATGGAAAGATCTACACAAGAAATGTTGTGCACAAAGAGATCTTTGACATGGGAATTAACATTTTATTTTTTAATCACTTTAGTTATTGAGCTAGCGGTTGCTCTTAGGAAATGTACCGCGAGTGGTTTCCTTCATTTCGCTCTACTTTAAGCAATTAAGCAAGTAGAAGAGGTAAACCCCTCGGGGCAGTAAGCAAAGGGGCGTCCTCTCCGCCTGCCCTGGGTAATTCAGTTTGAATTAGAAGACACCTTTGCACAAATCATTTTAATTACAGTATACCTTTCGTATGACCGCCGGACTTTCAAGTTTTAAATAAATAGCTATTGTTGGCAACATTTTTTCAAGGTTATGATAATTGATATGATATGTTATTGACACGTTAATACTTTTATTGGTATCGGAAAAGGTTGTTATATTACATTAAATTTAAATCATGACTACATTTACCTTCGAAAGAATGAATTAATTTCATACATATTATTTTATTTTATTTTATTTTATTTTTTTTTTTTTTTTTTGCATTTACTTTTCAGGTATACATAGGACTTATAAATCTTGCTTTTGCTGCAGCCCGCTCATCTGGCCCGCTAGTCTTGTCATAATTGTAAATAGCTGTAAGGAAAATATTGTTAAAGTGGAAGAAAACGTTACAAACGTAAAGGTTTTCAGGTCATGTATGAACTGGTATTGTTTCAGGTAATTGAAGGTAATGATTATTTAACACATTGTAAAGATTATTTAACACATTGCAAATTTTAATACAGATATTTTTAGAATAAAATCTTTGAAAGAAATGTTGAACTTCACTAAAATCATTTTTTTAAAAAAAGAATTTACTGAAAGAAACAAAATTTACAAATTCAATGTTATGTTACTTATGCAAAATGTTTCCCATTTATTCCCTTTATTGACTATATCTCACGTAAATTTTGTGTTTTAGGCAAATGTGTACATCTGCTAAAATATATTTTTAGTTAATGCACATTTTTGAATTTTAACACTGCTCTTGAACTATTAATTAATGATCGATTCAACTCCATTAATCATCATTAAATTAATACGGAAGAAATGCTTTAATCGAGTGCATCGAAATGTTAAGGACAGGAAGAAGGAAATATCTCCGACTTTCCCTTTAATGCTTCATAAATTGAAACGAAATGTCATTTGGAAGTTAAATGAAATTTATGTTTATTTAAAATACGCGAGGGGAAGAAAATGTTGAATTATACTTAAAAACAAAATTTTATTACTTTCAGTTTCCCAGAAATAGTCCGTACATGTTACTTATTAGTAGAAAATATACTAGTTAAGAATGACACATTGAAAACTAGCAAGTTAAATTATTATTATTAAGTTATGCACTGGAATATGCTGATGTCTTATTTCCTTTAAAGGAAGTAACAGTGGCCGACTATTAGGTATTTCCATAATAAATACACTGACTACCAATAAGTATTTGGACACCTATGCAAATGACGATATTTGCGGTCCTAAGGTACGTCACGGACACCGCTGGTATATATCGTGTAGGAAACAGCATCTGCTTTAGTCGCATGCAAGATGCCTCACAGTTCGGAGCTCTCTGATTTCGAGAAAGGTATAATTATCGGGTATAACAAATGTGGCCGATCCTTAAGGGACATATCTAGCCATCTGAAGGTACCCAAAATCGACAGTGGCCTATATGATTAAGAAGTGGAAGGTGAGCGATGATTGTCGGAATGTGCCCCGAGTCGGCTGACCAACGAAACTGGGAGATAGAGACCGACGAGTGCTGTCCAGAGAAATTTGAAGAACCGCATCCAACCGATGGCCCTCATCCGTGAGGAGTATCAACAGGCATCCGGGAGTACGAAATTGGAGTGTAGATCAGTGGAAAAGGGGTTAATTGGAGTGACGAATCAAAATTCACCCTTTACCGTTCGGATCGCAGGGTCTGGGTCTGGCGTCTACCTGGAGAACGTCTCCTTCCAGAATGCATTGTGCCAACAGTCAAGTTCGGCGGAGGAGGAATTATGATCTGGGGATGTTTCTCCTGGTATGGGCTGGTACCCTTGGTCCCCATTCATGGAAAGCTCAACTCCGATACCTACTGCACTATTTTGGATGACAATGTGCTTCCTACGTTTTGGCAGTTTTAAGGGTTGGACCCACGTTACTTTCAGGTCGACAATGCCAGTTGTCATGTTTCGACGTTAACGAAGGCTTGGTATGGTGCCAATGGAGTTCATCGAATGGAGTGGCCTGCCCAAAGTCCAGACCTGATCCCTATCGAGAACCTCTGGGACGAGCCGCATCGCCGAATTCAGGGGTGCACTACCCGTGCAAAATCGGTGAAGGAGCTTCTATGTTTTCTCCAAGCCGAGTGGAAGAAAATACCACTAGCTGTCATACAAAGACTTGTGGAAAGTATGCCCCGCAGGGTCCACGCAGTAATTACCTCTCGTGGAGGCTCTACCAACTATTGATTTTGAATAAAGTTAGTTTTTCTTTTCTATCACAGGTGTCCAAATACTTATTGGTAGTCAGTGTAGACCATCGCTTCTGGCCTTAATAATGGCCAAAGCCTAAAATGGCTATTGCCCGCCATTAAAAGAAACTAAGAATTCGTAGAATGAGTATTAAAGTTTCTTACACCGAGGCCTTTTCAAGCCACTTAAATTGATTTACGAACGCATATATTTTGTATATTATGATATAACTTGCTTTAAAAATATATTATTTTCGAAAATTCAAATTTTATTAAAGTTCAAAAATACATTCCTTATGTTTGAAGTTCTTAAATTCCTTTAACCCGGATTTTGCTGAATTTAAATTTTCTGGTTATGAATTTTTATTGGAAGTTACAGCAAGAGTTAATTTGATGCTATGCATTTTTAATTGATTTTATTTAATATCTCACATGAAGTGTTAACGTTCCTAAAAGAAGTTGTAAACAGAAAATATTAAAACTAAATTTTACATTTATGCATCATTTTAAAATATAAATAAATGTTTATTTTTCTTCCAGGAGGGAAATAAGGTAAACACAGTAAGCTGCGAAAAAACATAATTTACATAGCTGCTGAAGCTGAAGAGCTGCTACAGCTAAAGAGGTTCCTCGGTTTTATTATATTCTACTCTTTTTTTATGACTAAAATTGCTCAAAAAATCTTTTGAGAATCCATATATTTTCTTAACGACTAATGCTTATATGCTACATATTGATTAATAAATGCACTTAAGGGAACTCATACACCTTAAAACCCATAAGATGTTCGAATAGGTGACTGTTGCAAGAATTGGGACAACTTATTTATTTTAAAAGCAATTACTACCAACTTTTTACAGCTGATACCATAATATAGCTGTTTTCTGAAATAGTAATCAGAAAGTTTGTGTTGCCACAAATATTTTTATAATTTAATCCGCTTTGTGACAGCATTTTTCGTCATGTTCCAACTTGCGCGCACAGTTTAAAACATTCTGTTTCGTAATTTAATTCCATATTTAATATATAGCTTTTATAACATCTGGAAACTACTGTGAACCTAAAATTCTAAAAATTTCATGTTAAATTTTTATTTTATTTTGAGTTGAGTTTATGAAATGTATTTTATTAAAAAATTTTTAATGTTTTCGTCCATAAAATTTTTCAATATTAAAATATTCATCAGATTGTTGGTTCACTTAGAAAATAGTGCGCATATAAAGAATTCCATCCAATTTCAAGTATGTACCATTAGCCATTTTTAAAATAGCATGCGCGCAAGATGGAAACATGGCGAAATATTTTACCACAAAGAGGATTAAATTACAAAAATATTTGTGGCAACACAAACTTTCTGGTTACTAGTTTCTAAAGCAGCTATATTATGTAGTCAGCTGTAAAAAGGTGGAAGTAATTGCTTTTAAAATAAATAAACTATCCAATTCCTGCAACAGTCACATATTCGAAGATCATGAGGGGTTTAAGGTGTATGAGTCCCCTTAAAAGACACAAAAAATATAAAACGTAACTAATGATAAACGTTGAAATTTCATTTTCTTTTAAATGAAATTTAATGATAAATTTAATATTAACAATAACATAGTGATTAAAATATTTACTCTTTTATAATTTTATTTCGGATTCTTTTTACATGTAATACTTCAACTAAATTATCAGAGATTATTAAATTATCAGAGAGGTTTTTGGATGAATATCAAGATAATTCTAAGTTTAACTAATTCATTGATGACAGCAAAATTACGACAAAATACGTTAATCAGCTGTAGAAAATAAAGCTGAAAAAGTACGAACGTCAGAAAAACAGCTTTCAGAAATTGGGGAAACTGAATTAACTGGGAGGAATGAAGATTTATAATAGCTTTAATTACTAAGGGGACAGATTAACATGCTTAGTAACCGACACAGAAATATAGCAATGTTGCATTATCTTTGAATTTATGAGATGGTATATACCATAAATATAACTAAATATATAAAACCTTTAGACGGAATTCATGATTCTACGCACTTTTACTTCCTTGTACGAATTAATGGAAGCATTAACCGCGAAAACGTTCGGTTGTCGTATTTCAACAGAAATATCCATTCTGACCGTTCCCGAATCTATCTGGACGATTTTTTGCTTGACATCTGTACGTACGGACAGAATAAAAGACTCAATTTTTTTTTAGAAAATGGGTTTTCAAATGGATTTAAAATGTATTCGAAATCATATTTTCATGACGTCTGTACGTACACAAGTACATATGTATCTCGCATAACTTAAAAACGATTAGTCACATAATACTCAAATTTGGTATATGGGACTGCTATAATATATAAATGAGCACCTTATCTCCTTTTTTATTGCAATCGTCAGTAGAAACTTATATATTTATAGATATGTATCATATATATGTGATGTATGTGATGTATTTAGTCAGGAATAAATAGATTGTTGAAGAATTATAGATGCAGTCGTAGCTTAAATAATCAGACGATACGTTTAAAAAACAGGATCCATTATTTATTATTCAGGAGAAAATACCAGTTACAAAAATCAGATATCCGGAGTAAATAAAAGAATTACTAGTAACTTTTTGTATGAAGTTTACTGCATCGTGACATTTAAGAAAAAGCCCCGATATTCCTTTTGCGAGCCTTTTTATAGCCTCTGGAAAGCCGGAGCTTCGAAGAAATGACGTCAGCCTCGTCAGCCAATCCAGTTCGCTTGAAAATCTCCAGAACATTCTAAAACTGTACGTGTAGAAAAGGCGGGAAAAAAAAACTTGACTATGGGGCTGTGAATTTAATTCCACGTACTTTCAAATAAGAGAACGTCGCAATTAAAAATGAAAAGAACATACAGTTAGAATTTAAGTTGTAATCTTGACTAAGGAATTTTATTATTACATATATATATATATATATATATATACAAACACACCCTTAACCGGCATAAATGTCCTTTTTTGCAGTCATTAGTAGTAGTGATATACTTCAAATTATTAAAATTACATAATTGTTTTAAATACCGGAAATATTCATGTTTTGCAGGGTAAAATTTAAAAAAAAAACCTACTTTTCTATAAGTAACGAAATCTAACGACAATTATATAATTATATAATTTGGGTTATATAATTTCCAAATTTTTATGCTATATTCAACTTGTTTTGAGGCATCAGCTATTTAAGTTTGAATAATTCACTAGTTAAGTTTAAACGAGGGCAGAAAAAGTGTATAGTAGTACTCCAATTATCCGAATCAATGGGGACCGAACCCCCATTCGAATAATCAAAAATTCGGATAATTGGAAGGGTTTACGTACACTTAATTAATTACTGTATGTTGATAATGGGAGAAAAAAAAACGATTTTTAAAGAAAAAGTAGTTTTAACTAATTAAAATTAAAAGGCAACACTGTTACGTACATGTTATATAGCACACTGTAGACTACTTGCAAGTGCTAAAAGTCATTGCTTGGTGAACATCTCGGTCTATTTGACTGTTTTTATCGGTTTTCGGGCAGCCAATGAGAAATTGCATGTAGCCACAGTCTTAAATTTTTTTAGGCATATTTTTTTTTTCTTAAATTAAGAAGGTGATTCTGATAGTCGAAGTTCGGATAATTGGAGAACTTGTATATAATTTAATAGGCCATATGTTGTTCGCATCAGATTTTTTAAAATTTATGAGTAAATTTTATCTGAAAAGTGACTGACCTGCAAAATACTTGTTCATTGATAACACGCGTTTAAAGATAGGTCTTATTTTTTCATGCCTATTATATACCAAATGTAATTTTTATGATACAGGGTTTTAAATAATTTATTATTTTAATATCATTTTATATTACTCGAAAATTTTATATTACGAAATAACACAAAACATAAATATAAGATGGAAAATAGCAACGATGCAGCTGAGATAATATAATTAACACAGAAAATAATTAGTGTATAATTAACCCATTAACCGCCAAAACTACAAGGAATGATTCTTTTCTCATGAAAATAATAACAAATATTAAATTAAGCATTTATAACATAAATTTACATTGAAAATTAAAAAAATGCTCTTACCTGTGGAGAAAGCGAGCGTTGCGTTCGCGCAACGTCAGCGGAATAAGACTACGGATGTTTAGTGAGTAGGATTGTACTCGTGTGATGTTTCTTTTGAGTGGAGCGCAGGATTGCGTTTTAGCTGTATAACGTTTTATAAATCTGCAAATCGCTTTACTTGTAATTAATTTAATATTAAAATATACATTGTATTTCTATTACAAATACAGATTATTTCAATTGAAAGATTCAAGCATGAAAAGCTTCATTACAATCCTGATGTAAAGCTACATTACATACTTTGCATCTATAAACAGTCTGGCCTATGGCACTCTTTACAACAAAGTCTTTTGTTATCAACGGACTTTACGATTTTTGAATGCTGAATTTACTAGGTCTCCCTGTTGCTGATCTATTTCTGGCTAATTCTACACTCTCAATAGGAGTTTCCAAAAGGAATAATGCATTCTCGCGTCTGAAATCTAAAAGAGACTTTATATTTACAGTAGTAAAAAGTGGTGATATTTAGTAAGTTTAGATAGGTCTCACCTCATATAATTTATCAGTATTGTCAATTTGACTATTGTCAAATGCAAATTCTGCTTCATATTCCTGTACCGCAAACGTGATATCAATTCTCGTACAACAGGAATAGAAATGTCCTTATCAAAACACCAATGTATTTTTTCTAGAGGTAAAGAATGATATCATATAAGCAATAATATTCCAATAAATCTTCTCATGCATGCTTCAGTTGCAATAAATTCTGGGAGTTTTTTTTTCCCTGAGCGTATATATTTGTCTGTTCAACGAGAAGGGAGTAAATGTCTAAACCAAAAACAAAATCGAAAATCTGAGCACTAGTTTTACTTCGTGTTTTGTCGTTTATAATTTATTTTCTATCTCTTTCTTCATGTTCTTCCTGAGATATAACTAACACTTCCTTTTTTATCCACTTCAAGATTTCAGTCTCCTGATTTTTAAACATTTTGGTATGACTATAACTGCTTTTAAAAGGCTGAAACTTACTTCTTAAGTGAATTTCAACTTCCCCAGCGGTACCATTTGGTAAAATATCATTATCATTATTTAAAATATTGCCATTCCTTTCTGCTTAGTCATTCCTGTTAGTTATTCCTGTACTGCAAACGTGATATCGATTCTCGTACAACAGGAACAGAAATGCCTATATCAAAAGACCAATGCATTTTTTCTTAATGAGGTGAAGAATGATATCCTGTAAGCAATAATATTCCAATAAATCTTCTCATATAGGCTTCAGATGCAATAAATTATGTTTTTTTTTATTATTTATTCTTTTTTGAGTGTATATATTTGTCTTTTCAACGAGAAGAGAGTAATTGTCTAAACCAAAAAGAAAATCGAAATTTTGTGCACTAGTTTTACCTTGTGTTTTGTCTTTTATAATTTCTCTTCTATCTCTTTCTTCATGTTCTTCCTGAGACATTACAAACAGTTCCTTTTTTATCCACTTCAAGATTTCAGTCTTCTGCTTTTTAAACTATTTAGTATGACTATAACTGCTTTTAGAAGGCTGAAAGT